GAGAGAGAGAGAGAGAGTAGTGGCGAGCTGCTTCTCTCTTGTTGTTGTGTAATCATCCGCAAATGCAACACCACCACCACCACTATGCCTTTTAAATGCCATCACCAGTATCATCGTCCTTTCGCTCTTTCATTCTTCCTTCTTTTTTTCAGCCATGGGCGCTTGCGGTCTGCGACAGATCAAAACCGTCAAGAAAACGAGCGACAAAGGCGATGTGGTCAGCGGCGACGGCGACGAGAACATGGAAGACGGTAAGAAGCTGCATTTTGTTGTTGTTGATCTCTGGTTTTGCTGACAATAATACGATTTCCTGGTAATTGCAGATAAGTCACACTCACAAGCTACGTTCCGCTTCACGATCAACAGCTTCTCTCAGCAAAGAAAACCAATTCTCAGTCCGCCGACTTACGTCAAAAACTTGCCATGGTATGAGGGGGAATGGGCATGTTTTCCCTATTTAGCAGAACAATCTCAAAAAATATATTTTGTTTGCTTTCACAGGAAGATACTGGCACAACCTAGAGTAAATCGCCTTCTCTCTGACCAACGCAAGATGAGTTTTAACTACTTCATCCAGTGCAATGGCGAGTCCGAGTCCACGTAAGTGTAACTCAATATCTCTTGTTTGACTTGTTTTGTTTAATTCGCTTTGTTTTGTTTCGTCCACCTCGACGACAGGAACTGGTCGTGCTATGCCTCCGTTGATTTGCGCATTCTTGCACAGAAGGAAGGCTGTGAGCACCTTTCAAAGCGTATGTAGTTGCACCCCGTTTTTGTTTTATTCAATCCTTTTATCATATCCCTATTCGTTTAGACTTTTCGCACGTTTTCAACAGCAAGGCAAACAACTGCGGTTTCCACAGCTTTGCCAACTGGGAGGTAAGCTGTGCAACAGGGATTTCTCAACACTGCCTCATTTCTAACTCACTATCTCTCTTTCTCTTCAGGAACTGACCGACCCGACAAATGGCTACCTGAAGGACGACACGCTCATCCTCGAGGCGACGGTAAAGGCGGAGGTGCCGCGCGGCGTCTACTGGGACTCGAAGAAGCACACCGGTTTTGTGGGGCTGAAGAACCAGGGCGCCACCTGCTACATGAACTCCCTCCTGCAGACGCTCTTCTTCACCGGCAAACTGCGCAAGGCAGTGTACCAGATACCGACGGAGGGCGAGGACTGCAAGAAAAGCGTCGCCCTGGCCTTGCAGCACGTCTTCTACGAGTTGCAGTTCAGCGATCAGCCAGTGGGCACAAAGAAGCTGACCAAGTCCTTTGGCTGGCAGCGGGTGGACTCGCTTCGACAGCACGACGTGCAGGAGCTTTGTCGGGTGCTGCTCAACAACATGGAGGAGAAGATGAAAGGCACCAGCGTGGAGGGCACCATTCCCAGTCTTTTTCAGGGGAAGATGACTGTCAGTGACTACATACTTGAAAGCTTTGTCCAATTGCCAACTTACCATTTTCCCTCTTCTAAATCACAGTCCTTCATCCGCTGCAAGCACGTCCACTTCAGCTCTTTCCGCACCGAGCCCTTTTACGACATTCAGCTGACGGTGAAGGACAAGAAGGACATCTACGAATCCTTTGTGGAGTACACCCGAACGGAACTGCTCGACGGCGAGAACAAGTACGACGCCGGCGTTTTCGGCCTGCAGGAGGCAGAGAAGGGCGTCACCTTTGAGTCATTTCCGCCGGTGCTGCACCTGCACCTCCTTCGCATTCAGTACGACCCGGCTACCGGCAGAAAAGTGAAGATTAACGACCGGTGAGTGAGATTGAATAATGAAAGAAGTCGCCATAACCTTGCTGACTTCCTCGTTCTCCTCGTTCGCAGCTACGAGTTTTCCAAGAAGCTCAATCTAGACCAGTTTCTCTTGAAACCAGAGTCGACGCCGGCTGATTACACGCTGCACGCGGTGCTGGTGCACAGCGGTGGCTTTCAAGGCGGCCACTACGTGGCATTCATCAACCCGAACGGCGACGAAAAGTGGTGCAAATTTGACGACGACGTCGTCAGCAGCTGTGAGAGGGAAGACGCCATTGACGCCAACTACGGGGGTGTTGGGATGAAACAGGGAGGACCGGTGAGGCCCTCCACCAGCGCCTACATGTTGGTCTACATTCGCGACAGTGAGCTCGGTGAGAGTGCCACTAAATTCTGAAGTATTTCCTTGTGCTAATTTGTTTTCCCGGCTTCCCTTTAGCTGACGTCCTTGCCCCGGTGACCCCGGCGGACATTGAAGAGCAGCTGTTTGAGCGGATGCAGGAGGCAAAACGGCAGAAGGCGCTGCGTCAGAAGGAGCGCCAGGAAGAGCACCTCTACCGCAGCGTGAAGATCTACACCGAGAGCGCCCTGATGACGCACAAGGGCGCCGACCTGGTCAGCGCCGCTGGTAAGCGGTCGCCCTGTGTCACCTTGAAGTTGGCCAAGTCGGCCAGCTACCACGAGGCGGTGGCCACTGTCGCCCAGCAGATGGGCTACCCGGTGGGCAGCATTCGCCTGTGGCCCTTTCGTAGGCGCAGCAGCTACTCGAATCGACCGATGCGCGTCGTAGACACTGCCAAAACGGTGGCCAACTTCCTCGATTCCAAAAGCGGCGATGCGCTCTTTGTGGAGACGGCGCCGCCGAGGGTGCCCGTTCCGGAGCTGCCCATCTCGAAGAAAGATGGTGGGTGCTTTCTTTCTGTTTCAAAAATTCTGCTTTTCTCTGTTAAACCATTTACTATTCCCTTTTCCATTTTACCAGCGCACGTGCTCATCTTCTTCAAGTACTACAACATCAGGAACTGCTTTCTCACCTACTGCGGCCTGGCACACGTTCGACGTTGCGCCAAAGTGGCCGACCTCTTTGAGATGATGTTGGAGAAGGCAGGCCTGCCGGTGGGCACGCCGCTGAAGGTCTATGAAGAAGTGCACTACAATAAAGTCCGCCCGATGATCAATTTCAAGGCGACGCTGGAGAAAGCCATCGTCAACCTGATGGACGGCGACATTATCGTCTTTGAGCGCGGTGACCTGATCCCGCCGAAGGACGGCCCCTCCGGCTTGCTCGAGTACTTCCAAGACATGCTGAGTCGCGTAGAGGTGCTCTTCGCCGACAAGAACGTTCCCAACGACCCGGGTTTCTCCCTGGAGCTGTCAATGAAGATGAAGTACAGCCAAATTGCAAAGGCGGTGGCCATGCGTCTTGGCGCCGACCCGTTGAAGTTGCAGTTCTTCAAGAAGCAAAGTAGCTACAGCGACGGGCCGGGTGAACCGTTGCCCTGCAGCTACGATGGCACCCTTGGAGACATTCTGCTGTACGTAAAGCATCGCCAAGTGAAGAAGCTTTACTTTCAGCATGTAAGTGATTGACGAACTGGAGTTTGGCTGCTCTTCTGGTGTCTAACTGTTTCTGCTTTAACTGACTTTGCGTGTCCTTTTTTACTATTCTAGATCGACATTAGCATCTACGAGATGGAGAACAAAAGGCTTTTTACGTGTACATATTCCAACACTAATTTGAAACAAGAGGTAATAGAAAGAGTGAATATTGGAAAGGTGAATTTCACTTTTAAATCTACTTTTTTGCTTTTCTCTCCTTAGGAACTGGAACTGCTTCCAAACAAGGCGGGCACTATCACTGAACTGATGCAGGAAGCGGCGAAAAAGACCAAAATAAAGATCATTTCCCCACATCGGCGACTGCTTGAGATTTACCGCTGCAAGATCAACCGCGTCATCTTCGATGATACCAAATTCGAGAGCATAAATCCGGATAAATACTTGAGTTACCGCGTGGATGAAATTCCTTACGACCAGGTGAAGATGGAGCCAAATGAGTTTCTCATCCCATTGATTCACTTTGAGAAGAATTGCTACCGAACCTTTGGGGTGCCATTTTTGATCAAGGTGAAAGATGTAAGTGCTGGCACTGGTGGTTTAATCTTTTGATATCTATGTTAAAATTCACTGTCACTGTTTGTTGTTTTTTAGAAAGAGTCATTTGTCACTGTCAAGGAGCAAATTCGAAAGAAACTTGACGTTTCTGATGAGGAGTTTGAAAAGGTAACGGTGCTTGTTTACTTTGTACCAACCGCTGATTGTTTTTAATTTTCTTTTTGTGACCGTTTTTCTAGTACAAGTTTGCTCTCATTGCAGACCAAGTCACCTACATCACCAACGAGAAGAAACCAATCTTTAAGAAAGACGATCCCGCCGTCAGTTGTAAGCGTGCTCTTTTTGAAAGATTTGTGCCAACTTTTAACCCTCTTTTTTAGATTCAGCGACTAACACCTACGCGCCCAAATTGTGGTTGGGTTTGGAACACGAGAACAAAGTGACGGAACCTTCAAAATACATCCCCCACGAGACGGCCATAAAGATTAACAACTGAACAGTGAATGAATAGTGTTTGATAATTAGTGTCACATGAATCGGTAGGCGTTATTATCATCTTTATCGGTATATTTATTTATTTATTTATTTGTTATTTATATTTTCCATTTTGGCCCTTGTTTCTGGCCTTTATTATAATATTGTTTAAAATTTCTTATATTAGTCATGCCGACAAGCGGCATACTTTGCTATTACATCTTCAAATCATTTCATGTGCAGTGAGCACTTCTCCGTTACTGATTGTCATTAAACAGAGCATTGCTGCGTTTGTTGTAACAGTGCATTTTAAAACTTCAAACTGAGCAGATAATTTATCATCGTGTGCTTAATTGCCCAAAAAGGAGTTGAGCAGTACTGTCTTTTCAAAACTAATAACAACAACAAAATAGCTAAAATTGAGAGCATTTGATTTAAGAATGTAAGCATTTGACAACGCAAAAAAGCAAAATATCAACAAAATTCAATCAATTTTGAAAATGATTTACTACAAAAATTGAATACAAAGTAGTAGTGGTTCATTATTTAGCAAATGGGTTGAAAAATAAGAAAGTTGCATTCTAAAATAATATTTTCATTGTTATTTTAAAGCGAAACAAAGTTTTTAGTGTGAATGTATGTGATTACAAATAATAATTGTGTTACTTTATAAAGAAAGTTTATAGATTTGCTGGTAATGATAAAAACAATGAAAAAAGCTAAAAACAGTTTATGATCGGTTGAACACCTCCCACACATTTGAAAGTTTAACCGGAGCAAAAAGGTGTGTTAAGTTAAAGAAGAAGTAGAGATAAACATAAAGAGTTAATAATGAAAATGACACGTTCTCGTCCAGTCACATTTACTCCCATTCAGTGGCGCCCGGCGGCTTGGAGGTGAGATCAAGCAGAACTCGAGAGATGCCAGGAAATTGGCAAATCTTTGCAGCTGTTTCTTTGAAAAACTGTAAACAAACAAACAAAAAGAAAGAAATTTAAGATGGACTTTAACAACAGTCAGCCTCGTACACTCTCCGTTGCCTACCTTAAAGGAAATCTGCTTGCTAGGAATGGCAGGCACACCGGTGGCAAAGTTATCAGCGGTGATCAAGGGGCGAATGACCACCGAGTGTCGGCGTAACGGGTATTGGGAAATGAGGGCCATCTCGCGGTCAAAGTGAATGGGAATGAGGATGATGGGCATTGCCGAGAGCACCGACTGGTAGCCAGCGCACTTTATCTCCTTAGTGGCAATTTCGTCCGCCTTTTTCAGCAGATCAATGACAGTGAGCGTCAGTGTGGTGGGGGTGATCTCATTTACCAGGCACCTCACCCGATCACCAAAGATGTAGCAGACGCGGCTCACATTGGGGCAGACGCGGGTGATCAGCTCGGCCAGACGGGTCAGTGCCTCAAACTTGGCCGATATGATCTTTTTGGGCTCATCTTTGGCGTTTTCGGAGAGGCCGACGACGTAGCCATAGGAAAGGCAGTCTCCCTGGATGCGGACGCTCTTGATGGGCAGCAGTGTCGAATTGAACGTGTAAGTGGTAGAGAAGGTTTTCAGAAAGGCGAGCTCCTCGCCAGTGCACACCTCCTCAACTTTGGACACTATTGAGTGTTTCTGCAAAAGGAAAAGAAATGTCAACATTAGAGGAAAAAACAATTTAAACCTTTAGCTAATACTTTTCGCAACGAGACCGAATAGTTGACAATCGCCTTGAGCAAAACTGTGGTCGCAAAGAAATCCTGCTTTATGTACGGTTCATTGGCGCAGATGATGCGCACCGCCAGACCGGGCATTGGAAGGGAGTGGCGCTGGAGAAGCTCTTTAGGTAGACGTAGGTAACGGCCTAGTATGTGCACCTCGTCCTTGTGAAAATCCTTCAACGGTTCTACAAGGACGAAGCCATCTTTGATGCTTACCAGCTTCTTCACCAGCTCAGTTTCATTGTGGGGCATTTTGATAGATTCGGGAACGGAGCTTTTCAACGAGCAAGCCTTTTCAATCAGATCCTCAAAGTTTTTGAGAGTGTTCTGATTGAAAAAAACTTTTTGATTTGGGTTCAACTCTAAGTGGTTACCAACGATCTTGCTGACGATGCAAAAGAAGGTATTGCCGATGATGTCGCGTTTTTCTTCCGGCGCCGTTGTCTGGCAGAGCGTCTTTGTGGCAACTCCATTGTTTGGCTCCTCGCTCGAAGTTTCTTTAGTGGCGTTGTAGAAAGACAGCAAGGCCTTGTAGGCTTAAAAGTAGAGTAAAAAAATGATTAGAATTGCTGATCAAAAATGAGTTACACTATTGACGTACATTTTATAGTGAGACCAAGGCTTTTCAGTGACTCTTGTACCAGGACAATCTCATTCTTGCGCATGAAACCATTGTCAATGTAAAGAGCATTCACTTGGTCGTTTTTGAGTGCTTTGTGAAGGAGAGCGGCACTGACAACTGAGTTGACGCCACCGATGCTGACCAGCACCTAAAGTAACAAAATTGGCTGAGCATTAGTAAATGAAAACTCCTTTTTAAATGGTTAACAAAATTAGAACTTACAAAAACTTTGTTCGTGCCCACCACCTGGCGAATGTGGTCAATGCTTTTGTTCACTCGGTATTTCAGGGTAAAATTGGCAGAGAGATCGGCCACGTTGAATAGAAAGTTTTTCAACATCTTTTTGCCATTTTTAAAACGGTCATCCTCAGGGTGGAACTGAATACCGTACAGTTTTTTCTCCACATTTGCGATGGCTGCATGTACAACAGCAAATGATAAATTACCAACACAAAAACGGTAACAAAAACACTTACCGACAATGACGTTTCCTGAATTTCCCACCACCTCAAAACCGTCGGCTACCTTTGAGACGGAATCGTCCTGAGCCAAAAGCACTTTTTGCTGGCGATCTAGATTGCTAAAATGTAAAAAGTTGAAGTTGATTAGCATCAAGTGGGAAATGCATAGTCAGTGTCAAATGGCTTACACAAAGAGAGGATTATGATTGTCTACAGTAATGGTAAGCTGAGTCATATCTTTAGGCTCCTCCTTGCGCTTTTTCATCGAGCCGCCAAATTCCTTGTTCATTAGCTGGAATCCATAGCTGATGCCCAAAACGGGAATTCCAATAGTAAAGATTTTCTTGTCGTACGGTAGTGCATTCTCAACGCACACTGAGCCTGTGTCGCCAGAGATGATGATTGCTCTGGAATGAAAGGTGGAATTGTTGAGATGATCAAACAGCAAAAAGTAGATATTAGACACTTACTTGTACTGCTTCTTGAGCAGCTCTTTAGCTGGGGTGTTCAATGGCAAAATCTGCGACTCAACGTTGAGCTTACACATCTTACGGTCAAAGAGTTTGGCAAACTGGCCACCGCAGTCGAGAATGGCCACCTTTTCCGAATTCAGCAAATCATTGATTTTGCCGTTGTTTTTGCCGCCGCCTTCGTCGTCATTGGGCAAATTACAGGCGCCATTTAGTGTTGACATTTTTCTAGATNAACCTATCAAAACAAGGTAAAAAAATTCGAGATTTTGGTCACGCGAGATTTTTGCCACGCGAGATTTTTGTTTTCGAGATTTTTGCTGCGAGATTTTTGCCGCGAGATTTTTGCCGCGAGATTTTGACCGGCGCCCTTTGCCGCCGCCTTCGCCGTCATTGGGCAAATTACAGGCGCCATTTAGTGTTGACATCTTTCTAGATCAAGTGGGCGGTGAACTGTGTTGACCTAGGTTGCAAGGGACAGAAAAATACTATTGAACAAAATAAAAATATAGAAAAATTACTTACCTTATTAAATTGGCGATCAATCACAAAGGATGAGTTGGCAGAAAACGGAAAACAAAACATGCGCTAGCTGCACTGTTGAACTGGAACTAGGCTTCAGACCACAACAGAAAAAAGAATAAAGAATAAATTAAAATGGAAGCTTATGTGTCGGTTGCTTGTCTGATGGATAGATGCTAGTGGGATGATAGTGGTTGGTTTGAAAGAAGATCGTGGACCACGTAATTTTCAAATGCGTGGTGGTGTGTACTAGGGTGCTTTAGTGAGTACAGTCGCCGACCACAACAAGGCTGGCTCAGGAGAAAAAGAGACTCTCTTCCTCACATTCGCTTTGCCGTTGTCGCCGTTGCCAATGCTTCTCCTCCGTTGCAGCCACACTTGTTGCTCGGCGTGATGATGCTTGTACCGCTCGTAAAGGAAGTGCCACAAACTAAAAGTTAGAAGCTGCCTTTTACCCGGGTGTTTTAATTGCACGCAATTATGTTATGGAAGCATATTTTTATTTTTGTTGACGATTATTGACGGATAGTGAACTTTCTTATGAGTTTTGAGTTTGCTTAAAAAACAAACTTTGTCATGAGAGTTCATCTTATTTCGCCCAGATAAAGAAAGTAGATGAAAATTTGGCCCAACCCAAAAGACTGCTGTTGATAATGGACAAGAAGAACAACATTTAAATTGGGAAATGTACTTTTGATTGACCGACCATTTGGTTTCCATTTTACCGCTCTCTATTAACTACTCTACTGACCTGACAATAAGGATCTGGTTCAGCCTACGGCTAAACTGCCAACAACAGCAATGACTGGGGAAGATGATGATGCTGTCAACAAGCAAGCATCAGTCAAGTTTAAGCTTCTAAATTGTCACAATTTGCTCACAATTTCATCTTATTAGTATTGGTGCTACTGTTACTGTTGTTGTAAAGCTAACACTTCCTGTTGCCATTTCAGAAATAATAAATAAATTTGGAAAAAATAATGCAAAACATGTTGAATAACAACAACAAATTATTTACTACTAAATCACCTTTATTAAAAAAGTTTTAACGTTGCAAACGTATAAAAGTTACATTATAGCGGTTCTAAATTTGATTATATTGACAATTAAACAGTGGAGCGTTGTTTTATTGATTACTTGAAAAAACTTGTTTTTAAACACACCGTTCAATAATTCGTTAATTAGTTTTGTACAGTTTGTACAAATACAATAAACGGTTTTGCTTAATTAAAAA